GGGGGTATCTAAAGGAGACATTTTTCTAGGTCTGCATTAGCCCTACTCCTCAGATGTGGCTTCTCTGAGGTCTCAGTCAAATGCCCTGGGTATCCAGCCAAGTTTCTTCATTCTGGATGGTTGTAAGAGCCCACCTTGTAAGAGCTTTGGTAGTAGTTCTTTGATTAATTTTGTGGCAACTACCTGTATTATGTGCAGTTTGGAATATAGCCAGTCTCCAGTGGACCCCTGTAGACATCTCTTTGTCTGTGTGGTTCTCTCAAATTCCAGCTGCTTCTTCTTCCCCAAGCTCTGATTTTTATTCAGTGAAGTTGTTACCAGTTGGTGGATTGTAAAATTCCTTGGTTCTTGTCTTCTTGAAGGAAAGAATTTAGTTGGGAGACTTGAGAGAGAATTAAAGCAGCGAAGATTTTATTTAGCAAAGGGGAAGTACACTCCAGAAATGTTGCAAAACGGGTTGCTCTATGGGAGATGGGGTGGTCTCTGGGTGGAGACTGGGTGGTCCCTGGCAGTTTCCTATCTGCCATCCTCCTTTCTCCCCTCCTGCTCACGTCTATCTATCTCCCTACCCTAGCAAGATCACAGTGCTTTTTTGGGATTCCCGTCCTTGCACCATGGTTCAGAAAGCATCTCCAAGTGAAAGCAAGTGATCCTCAGAAAGGCCTTCTCTGTTCCTTTCCCTTCTCTTAGAGATTACAGTCTTTGCTGTCTGTTGTCTTGTGTTCGGAAACAGTTGTGTACTATATATTTTTTCCAATTAAACAGCTGCTTATAGTGGTAATGCTTGTCCAGTACCATTTACCCTACCATGGTTGAATATTGCTTTTAACTCCGTCGTTCACTTAAGTACCAGCTATCACGATGTAAGTAGAGTCAACAAATTTTAAGCAAATAATAATGTGTGACATGATCTTGAATATTTTAATTTTATGAGAATGATTTTTTAAAATTAATTTCAAATGAATACTGGCACCTTGATGATTTATTAGTCCCTAAACAAAGAATAATTACCCAAGTCCTATGACATTTTTATCATACCCATCTTCTTTTATCAAATTTACTTTTTTTCATAGTTATTGGCTATAATTGCTTTAGAGATTTTATTCTCCATTTCTTTTTAAATCCTTTGTAGGTAGAGTCTGTATTCTTTTTTTTTTTTTTAAAGATTTATTTATTTATTTGAGAGAGAAAACACAAGTGGAGGGAGAGCCACAGGGAGGGAGAGGATCTCAAGCAAACTCTGCACTGAGCATGGAACCTGATATGGGGCTTGATATCACAACTGTGAGATCAGGACCTGAGTTGAGGCCAAGAGTTGGACACTTAACCGACTGAGCCACCCAGGTGTGCCTTGAGTCTTTATTCTTCTTATTAATTATTATTTGGGTTGGACTAATACCACATTTTAGAGATAGCCAGCAGCCTTCACTACATACTCATGTAGTGAATATAATAATCATATCATAAAAAATAATCATGTTTTATTCTATTCTTTTCTATTCTATTCACTTTTATTGTAAAACAACTTGCTGCGTAGGCTTTCTGTCCAGTGATCCAAACATCAGATGAATGACTGGCCTAGGTGACTTTTAAATGCCCGTTGACCTTGACATTCTGTCATTCCTCAGCTAATTCAGCAGAAATGTCTTGAGTCCCACTGTAATTGTGTACATTATGTAAGAACTGCCTTTGTCTTTAAGGAGCTTGGAGTTTCACTGGTGAGATAATACCTGCATACGTATAGTAGGTAACAGTTAAAAATTGTGTATGATTAATTGCAGAATGAACAGCACAAACCAGAAATGCCTGAGATGTTAAGTCAGAGAAAGAGACACTGGCAGGAGTAGAATGACAAAGAGCACATCTTGTCATCTTGTGTTGGGGAGTGTCAGGAAAAGACAGCCACTGAAGCCGGAAAAGGAGTATACATTGTCAGGAATGTTAGTAAAGAGACCAGCGTAGCCGAGGCAGAAAGCTGTTTGGTCTTGTTTTGAAAATGTATTGCTAAGTTATGAAGTATTGCAGTGTTCTCAGCAATGACATTTCTTTTTTTTTTTTTTATTTTTAAAAAGTATCAAATTTATAAACTGCTGCTGTGAGACTGAATTACACTGGTCAATATCCCCATGATTTCCTGGCGTCTTTTTTTTTTATTATATTATGTTAATCACCATACATTACATCATTAGTTTTTGATGTAGTGTTCCATGATTCGTTGTTTGTGCATAACACCCAGTGCTCCACGCAGAACGTGCCCTCTTTAATACCCATCACCAGGCTAACCCATCCCCCTGCCCAGAACCCTCAGTTTGTTTCTGAGTCCATAGTCTCTCATGGATCGTCTCCCCCTCCGATTTCCCCCCCTTCATTCTTCCCTTCCTGCTGTCTTTTTTTTTTTTTTTAACATATAATGTATTATTTGTTTCAGAGGTACAGATCTGTGATTCAGCAGTCTTACACAATTCACAGCACTCACCATAGCACATACCCTCCCCAGTGTCTATCAATGTCTATCTGTCAGCCACCCCATCCCTCCCACCCCCCACCACTCCAGCAACCCTGTTTGTTTCCTGAGATTAAGAATTCCTCCTATCAGTGAGGTCGTATGAGCAATGACATTTATTTAGCAGTGGTCAACTTGGTGGTAGCATTGGCTGTCTAGATTTGGAAGTTTTGCATCACTGAGGTGCCATCAGTAATTGTTTTAATGTTGCAGTAGAACGAAAATTTTTCATGAAAAATCTCATCATATCATGAGCTACATCTGTTTGAAAAACAGTATGAAGAGAATACCCATCTGAGATCTGTCTTTATGGACTGCTAGATGTTGGAGAAGTTCTGAGTTCTGTAGATCTTCTCTGTTTGAGTTTAGGAGATTCTAGTCTTTTTTTGTGTTTAACTTGAGGATCCAGGTCACACTGAGGTTAAGACTCTTGTGTTGCTGTTGAAACCTGAATACAGTATTCCATGCTGTCTTTTAATCTCTACTCATGTGTTACAATGATAATTCAAAGCATATTAGTTTTTTTAAATATTTTTTAATAAAACCAAATGTAGCATGTATGTATTAGAATAAAAAGTTAAATAAATTTCCTACAAAGTGAAAAAGAAGCACTATGGGGCACCTGGGTGGCTCAGTCCGTTAAGCATCTGCCCTCAGGTCATGATGTCAGGGCTCTCTGCTCAGCGGGGAGTCTGCCTCTCCTTCTCCCTCTGATCCTCCTCCCAGCTTGTGCTGTCTGTCTCGATTAAATAAATAAAATCTTAAAAAAAAAAGCACTGTAATTTCTTCCCATTGACTGTGACCTAAACAAGTTATAGAATATTTCTGTAATTATTAAATATGAAATATATGTATAGGCATCTATAAATACCCAAATACTGAATTTCAGTGTGTTACAGTTTTCACTTGTTAAAATTATAGAACTATACATTAATATTATAGTAATAATATTTTATAGTTAATAATATAGTTAATAATCTCTTGGAAAGAGTATTAAACAAAAGCTGAAAACATGACTAACAGACACTGAAAGCTTTATGTCTTCATTCAAATTTTCTAAAATCATTGTTTGAAAAATGTTTAGTAATCATGGTATCCTTGCTATGTATATTCCTTTTTTTGCACTGGCTTATTTTTAAAATCAGACTCCTGGGAGTATTTGTTTAAAAGAACAGAGAAATTCTAAGAACAGTGAAGGGTTGGAAGGAGAGAAGTAAATACAACTTTACTTGGGGACAGAATTGAATGTGAATGTGTCAGTTTTATGTCATACCACAGAACAGTTTTGTAATCTAGCAGGTGAAGTTTTTAATGTTAATACTTAATAATCTTTAATACTGCATTAAGTTGTTTATAGTGTTTGATGCCTGGAGAAACTTGAGCAACTTATGGATATTTTTCTTTTCTTTTCTTTTCTTTTTAGAAGTTATTTTTAAGTAATCTCTATACCCAAGGCGGGGCTTGAACTCAACCCCAAGATCAAGAGTCACACACTCTACCAACTGAACTAGCCAGGCGCCCCCCCTTTTTCAAGAATTTTTTTAATTAAATATTTTAATGGATTTATTTTTTAATTGAAGTATAGTTGACAGTCAATATTATATTAGTTTCAGGTGGATAACAGATATTCAGTGCTTACCATCTGTCACCATACAAAGTTACCACAATATTACTGACTGTATTCTCCTAAGCTGTACTTTTCATTCTCATAATTTATTTTACAAGCTGGAAGCTTGTACCTCTTAATCCCCCTCACCTCTTTTGCCCATCACCACTTACCATGGTGAGCACCAGGTAATGTATATTGTCAGATCACTATGTTATACACCTGAAACTAATAATAACATTGTATGCCAATTATACTTCAATTTAAAAAAAAAAAAAAGAACTGGGGCGCCTGAATGGCTCAGTCGTTAAGCATCTGCCTTCAGTGCGGGTCATGATCCCAGGGTCCTGGGATCGAGCCCCGTATCAGGCTCCCTGCTCTGCAGGAAGCCTGCTTCTCCCTCTCCCACTCCCCCTGCTTGTGTTCCCGCTCTCACTATCCCTGTCTTGGTCAAATAAATAAATAAAGGCTTTAAAAAAAAAAGTAAAAAAAAAAGAACTTATATTTTTCTACTTACTTTCCAATCTCCTGATTTTTGAATACTGCAGTACTATTTCTATAGCTAATGCAACATTTTTCTCAGGTCCTTTAAAGGCTATAGTAAGAACCAACTACATGTATATAAGATGACTGGATCAGTTTTGGAGAAAATTTGGAGAAAAAATTGAAGCAAAAGAAATTTAGTCTTAATATTACACAATATAAGACTTTCTCCCCCTTTTATCTCATTAATGTGTATTTTATTCATCTCAACAAGGTAGAATTTGGCATACAAATATGTTTTGTTAGAAAATTTTTTAATTGAATTTTCAGAACTTTCAATGCTGTGAAAACAGCACGTATACTTCTGTGGTTGTTTTAGTGTTACATTTTTTTATTCATTTTTGGCAGATAAAATAACACAAGAAGATATTGAAGGCATTCTACAGAAATTTACTGGGAATATAATGCAGGTACCTCCCCTGTAAGTTCAATTATTGAATTTGGATAAATGTTTAATTTTTATTTTTCAGTGTTTAACATCACTTTAATGAGAAAAAAAGGGGGCTTCCTTTTATGTATGGTGAGGCACATTTTCATCTAACATAACATATGATCAAGTAAAGTTGAGCCAGACTGAGACAGGTTGCAGAGCTTCCAACACTCTCTGAGGTAGTGGAATGTGGTTTCCTCTGTCTCTGGGTGTTGCCACAGCCTGACATCTATGCTGTTCCAGTGTTGATCGGTTCTTCTGAGTCCGTCTGTTTACCTCAGGGCAGTTCTGGAGCGCAGAGGTGTCAGTTTTCCCGAAATTGCTGTGAAGGGACCAGTCCAGGCTAGTATTAGTGTCAGAGCTGTGATTCATAGTCCAGTTGGTACTTTTTTTCAGGTGTGGGGACCATTTTTTTAGGCCTAGAATCTTATGCTTCACAATTCTCTGCAACAAATGAAACAGATGAGAGTTATAATTTATTAAAAGTATAAGAATACTGAGTACCACTTAACCATATTTTTTGTGCACATTACCATTTCAAGCAAATTGCTTTTTATTTTAAAAAAAAATGGCTGAATCGTTACGTGTCAGAAGTTACTGACAGTTCTTTTAGAATTTAGTACTTATTTATGTACTTATTTTAAGTAGACTCCATGCCCAGCATGGAGCCCAATGTGGGGCTTGAACTCACGACCCTGAGATCAAGACCTGAGCTGAGATCAAGAGTTGGACACTTAACGGACTGAGCCAGCCAGGCATCCCTAGAATTTAGTATTTATGTTTTACTTTAAAATCTTGATTTTTTTTTTCCCCAGGAACACTGAAATATCTATAGGGAAATGTGTCTTCATAATTTTGCTTCAAATGAAAGTTTTAAAAATTTTGCAGGATATGAATAAATGTTATTTTTTGATCATTATTGTTAAAATAAATTACACATTTCTATTTTAAGAGCAGTTTTAGAAATTTTTTCTGTTGATTATTCCAAGAATTTTGTGGTCTAATAAAATTTTATCACACAAAGCTTAAGATCTGTTAACTAGATTTACCTTTTAGAAATATTTTGTTAATTTTTATGTGAAAATGAATGTTATTGTAATGGAAGTTGTTTCAGGGAAATATAGTGGAGACCACTGTGACCAGAGGCCTTGTGCCCTTAACCCAGAACGAGGACCAGTGAACACATGAATAGACCATCTCCAGAGGGAAGGTTAAAGTGTAAAATTGACAATATTGTTCATTGGGTAGCAGATTGAGCTTTAGCTTCAAAGGTATTTATGAACTCCATCCCTGGTACCATCCTGGAGTAGATTAGAAGAAAAAAGTAGTTCATGTTTTAGAAAGATTCAATTTAAGGGCTGGTCCTCCTTTCTTTCCATGCTGTAATCTGGAGTTATTGTGTCTCATTCTTTTTTAATCTTTTCTCTCTCCTTCACTCCCTCTCTCCCTCTCTTATCTTGCAAGCTATTCTGCATTAAAGAAAGATGGACAGAGACTTTCAACCTTGATGAAGAGAGGTGAAGTAGTAGAAGCAAAACCTGCCAGGCCCGTTACCGTATACAGTCTCTCCCTTCAAAAATTCCAGCCACCATTTTTCACATTAGGTAAGGTGGAAAAATTTGAAATTATTGTAGTTACATGTACCTTTATTCTGCATTTGGCTACTTTTGGGTAATTTAATGGATCCCTAGTATATTGGAGATTTTTAAAATTTGAATTTAAGTAAGGTTAGGATTTATTAATACTTTTTTGATAACACATTTAATGAAAGTACTGATAGCTACATGGAAGTTCAGAAATACTTTTCTAAATAGAAAAGTATTTTATATGTCATATTATCTTCTAAAGTTGGAAGTAACATACCTTTGATTTCTAATGGCAAAGAGTAGATAAGCGGTATATACTTTCAAAATTTTATGTTTTGTGTTTTATTATCTTAGGGATGCTGTTTTTCCCCCTTTTTGGCTAGTACCTGGTAGTTCACATTCAGTTCTAAAATTTAAATTAATTTGTCCTTTTAAAACAAAGTATTTTTAGTCTTTGAACAAGAAATTCTAATAGCAGAGTGATTATTTCTCCCCTTTCTATGTTACCTGCAAGTTACTGCTAAAGATCCTGACAATATGGAAATAATGGGTAAGGCAAAAATGTATTCTTGGACCTGTGGTAAATTTTAATTCAGGTTATCAATTTGAATTTATCTATAAATCTATATTTGAAATGAATTTAAAAACCAAAAAGTTTGTTTTTATGGTTTGGAAATTTTATGATCTCCTAGTTGCAGAAAGTAGTAGCTGAAGTCATGAACATACATACGATCTGTGAAGAATCAAAAACTGTAGTTCTCCTAAATTCTCAGGCTTCCTTAAACTGATCCTGCTCTTAATTTCACAGTGCCTACTAGATAGGATTCCCTTTAGAAATAATTTCCTAAAACTTTCTTCCCCTAACTTCTGTTGCTTTGACATACTATTTAATGTATATAAAGCTCCTGTAGAATGTGGTTTTTGTACAGTTAAAAAGTGAAGTCACTTCTTTCCTTTAGTGTCCTGACTCTAAAATGTTTGATGAATAATGAGAAAAACATACTAAAAAGTGCTTCATTCCATGAAAATGCAGCAGCTGGGTTGGCACAGTTGATACTATCTATGAAAGGAAAAGAAACTTAAGTTTTTCTGATTGCATTTAAGTTGTAAATTAAATACTTATTTTGTTCACTTGGAGGTTGGAATAGGCCGAAAGAGCTGTGTTTTCACCGAAGTCAAATATAGTGCAAGAATGTTTATATACCTGCTTTGATCCCACTGCTCATTTTTTATCTCAGCAGTGGCCCCCAGCTTTAAGCTGATGGGGAAAAAAAAAAGAATTAAAATCCCCAGGTAGTGAGTTTTGGTTAATTCCCTCAACTTTTTTTTTTGTATGATAAGACTATAAACAGCAAAAATGTAGTCCTTTTGTGTGGAAATTCAGGATATCTTGTGGGTGAATAAAAATAATCCAGAGTCTTGCTCTTAACCAATAAACGTGTAAGATACTGTGTTAAGATGTTTAGATATGTGTTCACTCTGGAACATTGTGTAATTTTAGTTATTTTATGATTTCTTTAGGAATATTTCCAAGAGAACATTTAAATAGACTGAGCTCTTCATGTAGTATATTTGCCCAAACATAATTACTGTCCCTGATAAGGGGTTTTTGTTTGATGTATTTTTTGAGGGTGTAAATCTGAAAATATCTTAAAAATCTACAGCTCCTGATAGCAAAGCTGAGATGTCCAACTATTTAAAACCAATTAAGTGAACAAGGTGTACAAATCGGAAAATATTTTTTAAATGTACAACTCATAATAGCAAAGCTGAGATTTCTAACTATTTAAAACCTATTAAATGAACGAGGCTGAAGTAATAATGTCGGTATGACTTGCCAGTTAATTTAAAATGTGTTCATGAGTTTCTGCTGTTTGCTTTCTCCACACTTGACTTTTCAATCTCACAAACACATATGCTATTGGATGAATAATTTATGTTTTAGTGCATAAATATTTTATCACTCGATTGTTTGCATAGTGCATTTTTACATTTGTTTAGGGGCATCATTTCTATGTAAAGTGGATTTCATAGGAGGTTAGCAATTTACCATGTCACTGTTAACATTCCAGATGTTGAATGTGGAGGAGGTTTTTATATAAGAAGCTTGGTCAGTGACATTGGCAAAGGTAAGCATAAAGATGAATTATGAATTATCATTTAGAGAGTAATATTCTTTTTTGATGGAAGGAGGGAATTTTCTGTTTTTCATATCTGAGTGCTGGCCTTAGGGAACTGTACTCTTGCTGCCTTCAGCTTCAGAAGCATTGAAGGTTTATGGCATACAATTATCAGCATCAGCAGCTGCCATGAAATGCTTATAACAGGAGAGAAAGAGAAAGAGAGGGGCAGGAAATGAAGATGGGAATAATCAATGTAACAACCAGCATTATTTCAGATATAAAATATTTTAACGCAAAGGGATAAGATAAAAAGATTTATCCTTCTAAAAGTTACTTTCATTGATACAAGTAAAAAAAAATTTTTTTTTTTAAACTGGAAGCCACAGTCTTAGAAACAGCTAGAAAGTTGTGGTTCCGGCTCTGCCATTTGCTGGCGGCTATGGCACTGGACAGGTCAGCTGAGAGTAATAGTTACCTCATGGGCTTGCTTCATGACTAAATAAGAAAAGTGTGTGCCGGTTCCTCATAGACTTTAAAGCAGTTTATAAGGTGAGTTACTAAATGTTATTTTGCTTCTTCATCATTTCTTAATCTCAAGGCTCTTGGTTCTTAGATTAGATTATTATAGTTTTACATTTGGGGTGGTTTGGAGAGGTTTGAATCAAGATCTTCTGTCATTTGAACATGATCATGACTATGAAATAATCATTTGCGCTGTGGATTTTCTTTTCCCCTTTTGTTGCTATAGAACTCTCTTCCTGTGCCAATGTCCTAGAACTGACCCGAACCAAACAGGGACCATTTACACTAGAAGAGCATGCCCTGCCTGAAGACAGATGGACGATTGATGACATTGCACAGTCTCTGGAACATTGCTCATCTCTTCTCCCAGCAGAGTTGGCACTTAAAAAATCCAAACCTGAGGAGTCTAATGAACAAGTTTTGAGCTGTGAATATATAACTCTAAGTGAGACAAAGGGAGAAGATGATGTAATTAAGTCATCTTAAGATTGGTTTGGGATTGTCATCATTTCTTGGTTGACATTTGAATCCTGTGTACAGAATGACAAGCTACGTGCAAAAGACAAACAACTATTTCTTTTTTTTTCACATGATTTTTTGTGTGTGTGTGTGTGTGAAGAAAAATGTCAGTTTCTATGGTGTACAGTTTATCTGCTCTACATTATAAATAGCCTTGCAGTTAGTTGTTCAGTTCTTTGCTTTACTATGAAATGTTCTTTTAGGATGTTATTATGTTGTTAGATTGGGTTCAGGAAAATCAAATCTTCTGATTTTGATCTTTCTTCAAAGTTTTCCTTGAAAAAGTTGAACACATTTTCTAATCAAAGAATAAAGAAACACGAGCTATATGTTTCTTTGGTGTCACAAAAGTGAATGTAAATTAGTGTTACTTTGACTTTATTTTGGCTTCCTACTGGCTCTATTGTATTGAAATTCTTTATGTTCGAAAAGGCCATTATTTAACTTATGTTTTGAAGTTTACAATTATTAAGAACATTTATTTGATAAGGCTGTACAACTCTGGTAATAGGTATGTTTGTTTAGATCTCGGAAACTAATAAACTTTTATAATAAATATTTGTAAATATATTACTGCTGCTACCACTAACAATGTAAATAGAAAACTAAATATTTAATTAGATTCACCTCTACCATGAGCGCAAAGGACAGCTCTGTGGCTTATATTTTGGCAGCTATGTGATCTTTTCCTGATGATTTCATCAACACAGTCAACCACCCTGTACCAAGTTATTAAATAGCATAATTTTTAAAAAGTAAGCTAAAGAATGTGTCTTCAATTTAGAATTTCTTTTCTCTATTTTTTAGTATTTATACCTCTACAGGGCATTAATCCCCATGACATTGTTTTTTTGTTGTTGTTGTTTTGATTTTGTTTTTTTTTAGTTTGCTGTTTCAAATTCTATTTATAGATGAGATAACTGCCCTGCATTTCTAGTTAATCTCTTCTGCTCTAAATATTTTAAAAGTCATTCTCAAACGTTTTCTTTTTTCTTTTTCCTTTTAAAGATCACTTTCATTTATTTGAGAGGGAGAGAGAGAGCACAAACACAAGATGGGAGTGGCAGAGAGAGAAGCAGACTCCCTGCTGAGCAGGGAGCCCAATGCAATGTGGGGCTCAATCCCAGGACCCCGGGACCACAACCTGATCCGAAGGTAGAAGCTCAACCAACTGAGCCACCCAGGTGCCCCTCAGACGTTTTCATTCAGATAGCTTACCGAAAGTTCCAGGTCCCTTTTGAACATAATTTTGAAAATGTAGTCATGTTACAAAATGGCAAATTTCATGTATAATGAGTGCTTCATATTTTTGTTATGGGAAAGCAATATATTATGTGGCCAATCTTTAGAAATGTCTAAATCCTGCTTTATTGATTCAGATATAGTTTCTAAAGGAAGAATAATTGAAAATTTCATAAATAGGAGTTTCTAGGTTTTTATGGATTGCTTTTCTTTTAAAAGTAGTTGTCTCAACCTCTAACTCAAAAATTTAAACATGTAAACTAATGTGATTTGATTTGTAGTTAACCTGATATAAATTCATTATAAAAAGTTATAGGCTTCAGTAGAGCATTTTTATCATATTGGCAACATATTTTATTTATTTATTTTTTAAGTAGGCTCCATGCCGAACGTGGGGCTTGAACTCACAACCCTGAGATCAAGACCTGAGCTGAGGTCGAGAGTCGGACACTTCACTGACTGAGCCACCCAGGTACCCCTCGGCTACATATTTTTAAATGAAAATATTAAAACTAATCCTAAGTATGACACACAAAACTATAAGGAAAAGAGTTTGCTGTCTTGATACAGTAACATAACATACCAAACACACAAAGTTATAAGTTGGAAGTTTACAATTTTACTTACCCATATCTTGTACCCTTATTCATATCTCGTGCCCTGCGGTTTGGTTCGTATCAACCAGAAGTGGCGGTGGCTGCCTCTGTCTGCTGGACCGCCCGACTTCTAGTATGTCTTCCTGCACTGCCCGATAAGGTCCAAATAGAGGAAAATTCCGGGGCATTTGTGCCCTCTTTCTCAACTTAAAAATTGACATGTATAATTTGCTAATGGAGAAGAGTAGAGATTATATCTTTTTTTATATTGAAAATACTGAAGGAAATTTTGCCAAATGGAAAAATGACCCATAATCCTCACCATCCTGATGCAGTGACCTCAGAGCTTTAATTTTATATTCCGGTTTTCCCGTTTTTTTTTTGTTGACATGATTATAGTCTTGACACCTAGATTTTCTAATTGACTTTTTTCATTTCATGATATCAGACTATTTTGTATTTAGTTTTGGTAGTTATTCCATATTCAGTTTATTTAAGCCAATTCCTTATTGCTGAACACTTAAGTTATTTTCAGTTTTATTAGGATCAATTCCTGGGGATGGGATTATTAAATGGAATACTAAGAACAGTTTTATGGCTCTTAATATGTTTGCCTTATTACTTTCCCAAAGAGTTATAACATTTTACATTGACACCATTTGAGTATATCAGTTCATTAAGTTTACAGCTTTGCGTGGGGGTTTTATATGTTGTTGCAATTTAGTAAGTATAAGAGTTCAAAATTGCTCTTACTTGCTTTTGTGTGACTTTTTCATATACTTTGTTCACTTATGGAAATAAATGTCTTAATGGTTTCTGTATACATGTGTATGAGTTATTTATGTAATAAGTTTTTGGTAGAAGTATTTTCATGGCCTGTTGTCTTTTTAATTTTCATTTCATTTTTCATTTTTGCTACATTCACTAATTAATTTTAGTAACTATTCCCCTTTTATAGTTGTCAGATTTATGAATATGAATAGTTAAAATTTTTAACTTTAAAATATTCTTAACTGTCATAAATAGCTGAAACTGATCAGGATGCTCTGAAAGGTTCAAGACTCATTGATAAAACAAATTCGTTTTCTTCCAAGAGTCTAGTATTTAAGTACCAACCGTTTTGTTTTTTTCATTATGTAGTTCTAGGCCTAAAGTTTAATCATATGATAAAGTTGTTTTGCTTGTAAGAAAAAGAACTTCCTGAAAATGTTTCAACCTGGAACATACCGAATTACTTAATTTTTACCGTTTAGGTTTTTTTATTTCTGAAAAATATTTTTGTCTTCTTAAAAATCATCAGAAGTGGTCCTAGGATTATTTTACTTATGATTTTAGAATTCACGTGCATTAAAATAATACAGATTTTCTCTCTGCTAATTCAAAATTATAAAATTTGAATAAGGGCTAAACTCACATTTTCCTATACTGACTGGATCTTTTCTTCTTAAATACTTGAATTAATACAGGCTACTAATCCATCATCAGGAATGATGAATTTTGTAAAATAGAATAAAATAAAGAATGCTTTATATCAGGCCTTCAGTACATTCTGACCAGTTTGAAATTTGTATCAGACTTACAATGGGCAGGCACTTAGAGGTTCATTTCGGTAGTGAGTTGTTCTATTTCAAAGGAAGAAAGTAATTTACCTTCCGTCATTATGTATATAATAGAGAAAATGTAATTCAAAAAGCACTCTAAAATGTTGAAAAATTTAAATAGAGGAATATAATAGAAAGTTTATGTATTGAAATCATTATGATGGCCTTGTAGTCAAATCTGTAGAACACTTGTCTTATTTCTTTACATTATGTGCGGGCAGCCCCAGTCTGGCCTAATCATTAAGTATCATTTGTTAAACACTTACTATGTGGCGTTTGAATCAGGAATGGCTTCATATTTTCAATTTGAGTTAAATTCTATAAACAGGAATATTTCAGATTGCTGTTGTAAATGGTGATACCAGCAGGAAAGTTGAAGTCAGAAATAACTATTTTCTTCTTATCCGTGACTCTTAAAGTATAATATGTTAAGATCCCATTTTTGTCTCTACTGTTAATCAGCTTTTTGATCCAGGCAAATCACTTCAATCTTTTGGGGCCTCAGTTTTCTTATCTTTGAAACAAAGGGGCGAACTAGTCTAAGAACTTTCCCAGCTCTGAAATAGTAGGCTTCTGAATACAAAATAAATGTGTATTTATTCTGTTCAGAAACTCGTACCTTGTAACCTGAATTTTCATGTTGTTCATCAAATTCTCATCCTTCGTCTCTTTGAATATTGCATCTCTTCCAACCAGTTGTCGTACTAGATTACGTCTTATTTTCTCATTTTGTTTTATGTGTCTAATTACTCTTTCATATTTTCTCTTTATCCCTCTGTGCTGTAGCTTGGGGATTTCCTTGAATCTTTTCCAGATAATGAATTCCTTCTGCTATTTTAGTTTACTGTTTACCTGTATATTCATTTTAATGATTATTGTGTTTTTTAGAAAAGTTCTAGAATATCACCTTTTTTTCAAAATCCCTCTTGTGTGTTGTCTTGTTCTTTCATTAGATTTTAGTTTAAATATACATATGTATTTAAATATAGTTTCAGTATGCATTTTTTTACTTTTACTGGTAATATCTATACAGAAAACTGCATATACTATAAATGTATAGCCTGATGAATTTTCACAAAGCAAACACATATGTAACCAGCAACCAAATCAAGAAACAGGACATTACTAGTCCACCAAAAGCCTTCCAAAATTCTCTTCCAGTCACTAGCCGCTGACCCTCACCCTACCACCAAGGGTAATCACTTCTAACATAGATTATTAATTTGCTTTCGTGCTTTCTATAAGTAGAAGTGTGCAATATATACTCTTTAATGTCTGACTTCTTTTGCTCAAAATTACATTTATGAGATTCTGCCATCTTGTAGCCTATGGTTGTAAGTTACTCATTCTCATTGTTTAGTATCCCATTGTGTGAATATACCACCCTTTATTGATTCTACTGAATGATGGACACTTGATTAGCTTTCAGCTTTGGGTTGTTTTGTTTTGTTTTAGTATTCCATTATATTTCACTCATTCTGTCTCGTTTTTGGCTTGTTCTACCTCTTTTAAAAATGTCTTAGTGTTTATGCTGTAGGATTGCAACTAGGATTGCATGCTGTAGGATTTATGATATACATCTTCAATTTATCGCAAATTACCTTCATTGTATCACCTCATATATTATGTAGAAACTTTATAATAGTATATTTCCATTTCCTATCTCCTATCTTTTGTGCTTTTTTCATACGACTTACTTTAACATATGATATAAACTCTATAATATATTGGGCTTTTGTTTTTACTTTATTACTTTAAACCATGGTTCAGCACATTTTTCTGTAAAAAACGTGATTGTAAATATTTTAGAGTTGGCAGGTGTATGGTTTTTCTCTTGCAGCTACTCACTTTTGCCGCTGTAACATGAAAGCAACCATAGACAATACATATAAATGAATGGATGTGGTTGTGTTCCAATAGAATACATTTACCCTCATGCTGTAGCTTGCTGACCCCTGCTTTAGACTGACAGTTATCTTTAAGAGATTATAAATTGTAAAAAAAAAACTTTCATATTTCTCTATATCCTAGTGTTCTTCATTTTTCTTATATAAAACCAAATATTTACTGCCATCATACTTCTTCCTCCTGAGTAACTTCCTTTAGTATCTCTTCTATTTTTTTATTTTTTAAAGACTTTATTTATTTATTGAGAGAGAAAGAGAGAGAGCAAGTGAATAGAGGGAGGGGCCAAGGGAGAGGGAGAAAGAATCCCACGCAGGTGCCCCACTGAGTGTGGAGCCCAATGCAGGACTCAATCTTAGGACCCTGAGATCATGACCCTAGCTGAAATCAAGAGTCGGACACTTAAAAGACTGAG